AAATTACACTTTTTTACTTGACAATATGTATATGCAGCAATTTGCATCATTATTCATACAAAATTCATACGAAATTTATATAAAAATATGGTAACATAAACAGGTTTAATAAGTCTAAGTGTAAACATATTATAACGAAACATTTAAACGAAAGCTCAACGAAGTTGAGCGTTTATGTTAATATATTTACTTTTTTTATTTATATATAATATATTAATATATTTAACATGTAATAAGATTTAATAAGGCTAGATTTATGCTATATCCAAGGTATCTAATTTAACCGGTTCACACATTATATTGCTATATAAAACATGATCTTTACATGAACGTTAAAGATTTAAAATCATTTAAAATATTTAGTGAAGCTAAAGACGATTTTAAGGGAAGAGCTTGTAACTGACGAAGACCTGTTTAATAAGCAACGCATATTCCCTTCTTTACATCTCACCATTCTGAACCATAATAAAACAGGCGTAAAGCACTTAATTTATCTTCCTTAAAGCTACAGCAAGTGACATTTAAGAGAAAATTAATTCAGCTAATTCATAGTGATTTGTTAGCAAACACTATATAATGATATCAATGAGATTGTTAGTTTCTTTCCTATTTAAGAGAGTCCAATTTGTGTTTACTGCTGATTCTTTCCAACTTGGATTAAATTTTCTATACACAGATATGACAACAGTTAGCGTGATACTTGCAGTATAATCAGGTTTTTCATATATTAATTATGTGTTCCCAAAGAACTCTGTATGGATAGCTTATCTGTGTCTTGTATTACTGTGTGATGACTTGTTTCTTTCACATTCAATACAGCCCAACGTGTATACAGATGTTCTTTCCATCTGGAACAAAACTTTTCTTTACAGCATTCGTTAACAGTTGTGTTCATGATGCCGGAGATATACCCAGGTTAATCAAATGTTACATTGTGTTACTATGGATTCTTGTTGGGTTATCTAGCTCAGCTTTACTTACGCTGTATGGTTATATATTGTATCAATAAGCCATCTAACTTTTTTCTTATTTAAAAAGAGTCATTAAACTAAATATTATTTAAACTGAACTCCAGGACTTCAAAGCTGGTAATATCCCTTTCTATTTATTTTACTTTTTTTGTTTAATAAAGAGATTATGTATCTATTTTAAAAGTAATTATTTAAAATAAAATTTTTTTCTTAATATATTTATTTCCAATTAAATCAATAAAGACGAATTTCATGAAAAAAATAATTATTTCTGTACTTTTTTATAATATCTTCCTTCACCCTTTGCACAATAAACCACAATAAAAAATACTTGTGACCTTGCTGAGCAGCGCAAAAATTTATCGGAACAAAGCAAGTAAAAATAATAGCAAGTTTTTAGGCGTATGACATTCGGATTATAGAAATAGAAATAATAAAAGTGATATTGATTAAATAGTAGAAAGACGTAAAGGACAACGCAATACTACTAATTGTCCTCTAAATTATTTTTATATCAAATAAATTTTCCCACAAAATTTTATACTCTATACGTTGACACAACAGCATTTAATTAAAGCCATTTGGCAGTTTCAAAACAATAAAAGCGACTACGATATAATTAATTTCATTTTATATAAATTTATTTGATTGCATACTTGATTAATTTTAGCAATAAAAAAATTATTAAAATTATATTTATTATACTTAAAATAACGTCATTAAATAGTCAACTTATGCTCCATTAATGAGAAATGGTAATAAAATATATTGTTTATTTTTTTAAGAAATCTGATCTAATGTTTAGGATAACTCATACTGCTGTGAAACTTGAAACTGAACTATAATTTTTTTAACTATTTCAATTTATAAAATTTCGAATAGAAACACTAATCATCAAATTGTGTTTATGGTAAAAAATACTTGAAAAAAAATTTAAATTAAAAATGAGAAAATTAAATTAAATGATATATTAAATAATTGTAGGAAGAAATTGACGTCACGAATTATCAGGTGCAATAACAGCACTACAAATCCATTGTGACACTAAAGCAGTCACTAATAAATTGGATAATAAAGTGCTTCATATCTGCATTGTTGTTGTCTAGGGCATGCGCGACTTTCATTAATTATGCTAGGGACTCTCTTTTTTGAAAATCTGGGCCAACTTTATGAACTCTCTTTAAAGAGCAATTCAAGTTTACCAAAGGTTTGAGATGGTTTTTAAACATTTGAAGTCTTATAGGCTTATGCAATGGCCCAATATAGATCCTTAAGATTGCTAGTATAACCTATTCTAAACTAAAAAGGAGAGAAAAGAGGGCTCGAAAAGCTTAAAACTTAAATAATATAAAGGTATTATTAGAAAATTCTGAAACACAAAAAAAAATAATCATTTTCTTAAATATCCATCTCTTAATTTCTTAAACGTGTACTAACTCCAAGTTGTACTGAAGCTGTATGAAACAATTCGAAAAAAATGACTTTAACTTTAGAGACACCTCCCATAGATTTTGCATCAATTTTCTTCAATATCTATCTCTACATTTCATGAGCAACTTTATACAACCCAGAGACACATGCCATATATTTTGCATTATGAAACGAACTGGCGGTTATGGTTTGAAATTTCCATCAGTTTGTGATGACGTCAGTATAATACTGCAAGCACCTTAGTCTACAGACATGATACTCTGCGACTTTTTTTATTTTCCATACTTAAGACATTCAAAAAACAGCATTATTCAATCGCATAGAGAGCTATCAAAGATCATCTTTAAGAAGGTATTGGAACAGTGTTTCTCAAACTGCAAACAATGGAGGTATGATTATACGGTATCATAATGAGTGAAAGAGAAGTAATATGTATTAAGGACTTAATTACTCGTATAATGTGAGCTGAGCTAATTGAAATTGCTATTTTTGTCGTATATATTATTACCTCGTACATAATATGTGCAACCAAAATATGGCTACAAAGACTATAATATGTCTACCAAAAGACCTAATCCATTACTTAATCAGCTTATTACCTCTATTGTTTTAATCTGAACTAACTGAACTTATTTGTAAAGGTATCGAGAGAAAGATGGTCGAAGTGACTAAACATATAAATTGAAGGATTAATATTTTCTTTCCAGTAAAGTATGCGTATTTAAAGAAAAACTAAAACAGATACTGAATATTGTAATGCATGATCTAAAAGTTTAAGAACTAATAAGGCTTGTCGACCAATATCTGTCTTTTTTCCAGTTATTTTTATTTAACTCTAAATTTGTATTAACTTATTCCATTAGCATTCAAAGAAAACTTAATATTAATAGTTGTAGTGATAATATAAATATATTGTCGGTTTAGATGGAATAACTCTGTTTCTGTTCCTTGAAAATCGTCCTAATTATACGGAACGTCCCTTGTACAACATTAAAAAAGATTTTATAAAAAAACGGTTAAACAAAGGTTTAATTGTGATGTCATATAACAATATTTACACTTACTAGCACAACATATATAATCTGTAACGAGTAGTCACATAATCTTCGATGTAGAATTTTAAAAAAAATTTTTCCATTCAAAGTTCTACTGTAATGCTAGTTTGATATTGAACCCGTATTCAAGAAACAGATGATATAGACGTGTTAAACGACTTTTAGCTACATATTCACTTCGTTGGGAATTTTAAGACGTACAATCCTAGAAGAATTTTTTAATCGAAAATACTATTGTGATGTAAATGTGTTATTGGATTCATAATCAAGAAACAGATAATATAGTCACGTAAGGAGACTTTTAGCTATATATTTACTTCATAAAGGGCTTATAGAACTTAAACATGTATAATTTCTGAAGAATTTTTCCATCACTGATTCTAGTGTAATGTAAGTTTGATATTTGATCCGTAACTAAGAAACAGATGATATAAACGTATAAGTAGGCTCTAAGCTTGATTACCTAGCTTCGTATGTTGATTGTAGATTAATAACCTAATACTCATGAAAGTAATCTGCTAGATTTTTTTTCTATAAACGAATCCACAGTTATTTCTAACTGTAGCTAAATTAGAGTAATCACAATAAGTCCGTCAACTCATTATTTATATATAGCTATATATATATATTTAATGTTAGCCAGTGTGACTGGAAAAATTGCTCATCGTCGTTCAATCTGAGAGGACATTGTTAGGAGAAAGGGTTACTTTAACCCTTTAATTCCCTTATCCATTTTTTACTATCATTGTGACTGGTAGAATAGGTCATTATTCAATCTGAAAGGACGTTGGTAGGAAAAAGGGTTACTTTAACAATTACAATTAATAATTAAGGGTTACAATTCCCTTATACTCTTTTTGTTACGTGTCTACAAATAACTACAATTTATCTTTTCATAGAAATCTTTATGTTAGTGCCACCCATCTGCTTTACATGTGCTGGTCAACATGGGCGGTCCCGCTTTATCACTTTAGGGGCTTTCTTTTTCGAGTGTCTTGTTGAGCTGTAAGACCTCCCTCTAAATAACTTTATAAGCTTTGCCAAAGGTTCATTGTTGTTATAGCCCTTGAGTTTTTAATTATACGGTACCATTGTATTATCCTATAACATATATATAGCCCACTGGGGCTAATGGATTTCTTGGGATCGCCAGTATAACCTAAGCTTAACTAATTATAAATGTTTTTATTTGAAAAATATTCATTATGTATTCTATAAATACATTTTTTTTTGTAATTTTTTTAAATTAAGGAACCCCAAAACCCCTCCTTGTATATACTACTGTTCACATAGGAGTTTGGTATTATCCTCACAAATACTCAAATTTTAAGTTCAAATAAGAAAGGAATTATATAACCATTGTATATATTCTTAATAAAATTTTAAAATAGTAATAATACTCGTAGATATAATGATGTATTGTATTATATATATAATAATATAGTATATTGGGTACAACTCTGAAAGCCAAACATAAAACAGAAAAGAAATGTCATAGCAAGAAACACAAAGGATAGCGTAAGCGTAAGAATCTCGCACTCACCCAACAGAAAGCACGTATCACAACTTGTGGTTTCATGGCAAATGTTAATGGATCAAAGACTCCGCCAGCCTTGCCACCTCCGTAGGCGCCACCAGCGTTCATATTTAGGATTTGATTTAAAATATCCATTTTTACAAGCTGTTTGCTCTGCTGTTCTGCTGCTGTGTGCTGTGCTCTGCTCTGCGCTGCTCTGCTCTGCTGCGATGTGTTGTGCTCTGCTGTGCTGTGCTTTGCTTTGCTTATTACTTAACACTTAAGTATGCAAAATTGAATTTGCGTCGAATTTCTTTAGTATTTTTTTTTGTTTGATGTTTTACGTATGTTTATGTATTTACACACAAACAAATTTATAGAACAATAAATAATAATAATTTTTTCGTTTTTTATTTTGTCAACGTCGTGAAATTCAAAAATATTTAAAGCAATATTTGTTAAATAATAAAATGAATTCAAAGTGAAAAATCGAAATTAACTTAATAAGTGAAAAATGTTGTGGGTGGTTCAGAGGGACACTTTAATTACTATTACAAAATTTCGACAACTTCACACATACATACATACACATATGTACACAAAAATTCAATAGAATTTTACAAATTTTATTTGCACTGCTGTTTTTTTGATTTTTATAATTTCACTATATAAATGATATAAATTTATTTAAAAATTTTGATTTTTTTAATAATTTTAAATTGATTAGAATTTATATTATTTAATTTATTTTTTCACGTAACTACAGTGTTTTGCCAAAAATTTAACTTTTCACAGGACTTTGCACACACCACAAATTCCCAAAATGTATGTGTGTATGTATACTGCGTTGCTGTGTTTGCGCGGAACAAGTCGTCGGCCTGCGTTGCGTTACAATTCTAAACTGAAACTCTTGGTCTTCACGAAGCTTTCGAATTTGTCTGTTATTATTTATTTGTTTTCCTTTTCACGTTTTGCCATTCTTTTTGTGCATTAGGTTTTTATATTGTCGTCGTTTTTCATCAATGTCGTCGATTGTGAGCGCAGGAAACGTTACTTTCGAAGGGGGTCCGAAGGGTTCTTACAACGTACGCGAATATGTGTTTGATGTGTTTTTATTGTAATGTAAATATAGAAAGCATTGACGAGAGCCTGAGCTTTTTCGGCTTAAAAAATCAATGTTCGAAAAAAAAAGCATTGCTTAATTACTAAAACATACAGTGGAACAAAAAAATCTGACAAAATATTTTTATTTTATATATTTAATATTAAATATGTATATAAATATATGTTTTATTGGTTAAGGCGTTTTATAAAAAAAATTAAAAAATTTTACAATAAATATACAGTCAAACTTTCATAACTCGAAGTACCATTTTGCAAAGAAAAGGTTGGATTTATGGAAACTTCAAATTAGAGAATTTTTTTATTTTTTTTTTTTTTTTTGAAAAAAATTAAAATCACATTTTAAGATATTTAACATGGAAGTTATGGTAAATTGAAATATTCAGAAATTATGGTTTGGGATTTTAATTTTTTTTTTCTTATTTTCAGTCAAAAGAGATTTCAATTTTTTCCAAGTCTTATAATGAAAACTCTGAATTTTAATTGAGTATTCAACTTTATTCTTGGAATACTGATAAACAATTTCATTCACCGAACTCTCATCATCGCTTTCCGTTGCACTTAGAATCAGATCTACTAATTCAGAGCTAGAATGCTCAATAATATCGTCATGTGGGAAATTGTCAAATTTGAAATTTGTCAATTTGAGCTTGACAAATTTCATTGTCAAGCTAAATATAATCGTTAAGAGAAGCATTAAGAGAAGTTAATTTATTTACTTTAAACCACGCTGCTAGCGACTGACATTTGCACAAAGAAGCAATATAAAAAAAAAAATTAAATATTTGATTTGGAAAAAGGGGGTTCCCTTAACACCAAAATGGATTCATATTTAAAACAAAAACTCGACTTATAGAATACACTTTCCCACATTCCAATTGGCACGTCACAATATTTTTGATCGATTTATAGAGTAATTCGAGCTATAGAAGTTCGAGTTATGGAAGCAGAATTATATGTAATTTGTCCCCTAAAACCCTGTTGTACTAGTTTTAGTTTGAGTTATGGAAAATTCGAGTTATGGAAAATTCGAGTTGACTGTATTACAAAATATAATATAAATATTTACAGTAGTTGTAAGTTCAGTTTTTTTTTAATATATTTAACTGGTGAAAATAATGTGCTATGAAAATAAAATCTTATAAATTTTGTTATGATTCGGTTACCCTAACTCAGAAAAGAGCACAGCTACCTAGTACGACTGCAACCTTAACAAGGTTAATCATTATAATATCATTATCATTATATAATATAATCATTATAGTATTTTGTTTACATACTGTAAAGTATATAATTTATTGTTTATTATTTAAAACTTGATTTGTAAACAGATTTCAGTATAAATAATCGTTTTATGTGTTTCCAAGAGCAGTTGTAATAATACTCCGCCCTGAAGAAAAAGTAAAACAAACTTCTAAATGCCGTCGATATTTATATAGACATCTATATAAAATAAAAAAACAAATGTAAAGACTAATCTAGCAGCTTTTATTTGCTAAAAATACAATATAAATAAATTATATTTCATTATAAATTGTATTATAAAAAATATATTATTAATATGCTATATTAGAAATCTCAGGCTAATTAATTAGCATTAAAAGTTAGATTAGATTAGATGAGATTCTAAACGGGTTGAGAAATTGTTACCACGTCACTGCAGCCTTTGAGGATTATTGTGACAAATCCACTTTAGTTCCATAGACGAGTAGCAGTTAAAAATGCCATTATGTCCTTTGGACAGATGTTGCCTAATTCCGTTAAAAGTGGATAGGTAGTTAATAAGTACCGAAGAATTAAAATTTAGTTTAAAATAGTTTAAAATATTAAAGAAAAAACAATGACTATTAAAAAATTATAATAACTGATTGAAATTCCTATAAGCTTCGATTTATAAGCTTACTCTAATAAAAAAAGCAGCTCCACCCACATAACATTACCGCTCTGTTTTCATGCCAAACCACTTACACAAACCTTAATCCAAATGCAGTTTAAACCCACCCTATTGAAGTGGCCAGGTTTTACCGTCTTAATCTTGGTTAGTTTAAGTCCCAACAATCCCTAAAATTCCTCCCCTCCTGATTCCATCATTACCCATCCACATTCTAACCCATGTATTCGTTGCGTAATTCCTTCATATTATATGCTTTTCAGATTCCCACGGACTAGAACAACAACAACAAGCAGGAGAGATGCAGTCTTTTGAATAAACGTCAAAATATCACGCATCATATTCTAATGTCAAGCAGAGATAAGAACTATCAGCTGACTAATCTGCTCCTCACAAAACTGGACAGTCACAAAGAAAGTAATTAAGAGGTTTTATCTGGCTTCAAACAATGTCGATATTTTGCCTTCTCCTGTTCATATAAATATATTTATATGATATTTAACCCACGGACAGTTAAAGCCACGTCATATCATTTTAATTAAATTGAATTCTTGAACCTTATATAACTATCCATATAATATAAAACATTTCGTTCTGATTTTATTGATATATATATGCAATATTTTATTTACGTAATAGCTATTAGCTGGCAAATGTACTCTATATATTTTAATTGAAAAGTATTTTTATAAATGCGTTCTACATTTCTTGTTTCTTAAACTAGCATTTTCATTAGGAAATAAAAATTATCATTATTTAATAGGTAAATGCAATGCTGGTATATAATTCTTTTTCATTATATAAGCCCTTTTAAACAGTAAAATGTTTACAAGTTGCTGAATTTAGCTGGGCGCTTCTCGACAAAAGCAGTCATACCCTCCTTACGATCCTCCTATATGTGTAAAAATTTAGAATAAATTAATATTTTTTATTAAATATAATATATATATATTTTTATTATATAATAATATGAACAATAACTTACAGTTGAGAAAGTGGCATGGAAGGTTCGTCTTTCGAATTTAAGACCTTCTTGTAAGGTTGTTTCGTAAGCAGTGTTGACAGCTTCCTTGCATAGTTGCACGATCAGACCAGAATGAGAACCGATCTTTTCGCCCAATTTAACAGCTTCACCTACAAGTTTATCAGCTGGTATAACCTTGCTGACAAGACCCATTTTTTCTGCTTCTTCAGCGTTGATCATATTGCCAGTGAGACAAATTTCCATAGCCTTTGATTTGCCTACAACACGGGTCAAGCGTTGGGTGCCACCAGCACCGGGAATTGTACCCAAAGCAATTTCAGGTTGTGCAAACTTAGCTTTGTCACCAGCGTAAATAATATCGCACATCATAGCCAATTCACAGCCACCACCAAGTGCATAACCATTAACGGCAGCAATGATTGGTTTTTGGCAACGTGCGACACGTGTCCAATCATTCAAGAAATTACCCATGATACATTGTGAATATGTATTCGGTTGCATTTCTTTGATATCAGCACCAGCTGCGAAAGCCTTCTCACTGCCAGTGATGACGATGGCAGCAATGCCCTTGTCCTTTTCAAAAGAATCCAAAGCGGTGCTCAGCTCCTTCATGAGACCATTGCAAAGTGCATTCAATGCTTTTGGACGGTTCAAAGTGATGACTGCAACATTTTTCTTCTCACCGGTTACTTCAGTCTTAATGAATTCCAAATTGGCAGCTAAAATTTTAACAAAAAAAATACTTGAGTTATTATTAACGTAAATTATCAAATTAAAATTAATTTTAGAGAATACCGAAAAGAATTTTGCAGATAATCGAAATCTAAAAAACCTGTTGACATAATTGACCTTCAATATCGTAAGATTTTTTTTGTGGACCGTAAAAAACTAATCACAGGATTTTTATTGTGCAGCGAAACCAACTATTTTTAAGGAATTTTTTTTTTAATAATAATTAAAATGTATTATAATTACCATATACTATTTTTTATGTTTTTTTTTAACCAACATTTCAAAGAACAAAAAACTGCCCCGCAAGCAAAAAGCAAACATGATAAGCAAAAACTATAGTTACGTAATTAGAATTATACTTTTTGTTTTTGTTGTTGTTTGGAATAATATCTGCACATATGTTTTTATAAAATTAATTATAATGAAAATGACACACCCACGTAAATGCACCGGTGGACTGCATTTCGTTAATTTACAACAACAACTGCTTGAAATTAGTTTAGTAAATCAAAGTCCACTTTTGCTTGAAAATATTCAGGAAGACGAATTCACTTACCAGCAGAATAAAAACGTGGAGCCAATTGTGGATTCTTAGCTGCAACTTGGATCACGTTGTGTACACGTCCAGCAAGTGTCTTTGCAATATTAGCCATGGTTTTTAATTTTTACTATTAGAAAATTAATTAAGTTAAAAATTTTATTACAATATATATTATATATTATAAATTGATTATTCAATTGTCTGCTACACAAATTAACACTTACGATATGAACACCAAAGAAACAATGGAGCAAACGAAAGTGAAGAAGCTAGATCAGAGTGGTAAAAAATACTCCCCATATGAGAGAGAACTGGTAGTGGCAACATGTAGAAATCCATTTATTATAAAATTTTCTCAATTGATAGTAAATGCTGCGCAAAATACCGGCAACACAAGTTCAAGAATAATAAAAACAATTTTTTTAATTCGCCGCAGAAAATAATTGCGCTACACCAAGTCAATTCGACTGGAGGCAGCAAACAATCTTTAAGCACAGATTTCTATATTAATATCCACAAATTAAATATTCGCTAAAAAGTTGTTTTTTGATTATTTTTATAAAACATAAAATGAAATAAAATAATTACTAATCATAATTCTCTATTAATATCCACAAAGTAAACACATTTAAATTTTTTCTTCATTAAAAAATTGTTTTTTGATTTGTTTTATAAAAAAAATAAGATTAATATACTGTTTTAATGTCCACAAATTAAACATTTCAATTTTTTCTTAATTAAAAAACTATTTTTTGATTTTTGTTATAAAAAATAAAATGTTCCACATAATTTTTACTCAAAATTCTCTTTTAATATTCACAATCTAAACAATTGGATTTTTTTATCGCTAAAAGGTTGTTTTTTTGGTATTATAAAATTAAAAAAAATGTTTCTTTTACAAAAAAATTATTATAATTTATTTCTTTAAATTTAATATCATTATTAAAAATTTTTTATTTTGAAACTTTTACAAAATTATTATTATTATTATTATTATTATTATTATTATTATTATTATTATTATTATTATTATTATTATTATTATTATTATTATTATTTTTATTATAATTTAACTTCAGTTATAACGAAAATGACTATAATATTTAATAAAAACTAGCATAGAAAATATGCTAGATTTCAAAACCTCTTTACTAAAATTAGTTTACTATTAATGAGATCTTTAATAATATTATATTTAAATTATTTAGTATTATTAATATTTGATTTTATAAATACAAAAAAAGTTGTTATTTTTTTATATTCTAAGTTGTTTTATATATTCTACGTAATTATTACTATTGAGCAGATTCTAGAAAATTTTTACATTTGCAAAATTGATTTAATATTAATAAAATTTTTAATATTATTATAACTCAATTATTTAATATTATAGCCTCTTCTCTTTCCACTCTTCAAATGTTTCATATTTATCGATCAGTTTAAAAGCTTTATTATATAGGCAACATTTTTATAGTAAATAAATTTATGTTAATGTTCAATAATAAATGTATATGTACTTTTATTTAAATTAATTAATTATGTATGTTATTTAATTTTATTTCAAATACTTTATTTTCTTTAGCTATTATTACTTGTCAATTTTTTTTACCATTATAACATGATAATTAAAATTGTTCATATATATATGGTAATTATGATTATATATATAAATAAAATAAACTCTTCATTTTCTTTACCCATTATCAATTGTGAATTTGGCTTATTTGATTATAAGATGAGTAATAAAATTGTCTATATATGAATTGAATATAATCGAATTAATAAAACAAACTCCTAATTTTTTACAACTGTTATAAAATTACAAAATGCCTTATTTTATTATCATATGATTAATTAAATTGTCCATATATAGGGTAATTTTAACTAAATTTAATAAACACAGAAGAAAGTGATTCCTCAAGCCTGCGCAAATGAAGATATTAGTAACTGAATATGATATGAATGAAAAACATGCTACAATTTTTAAATGTTGATTCATCAACATCAACTCAATTATTAGGGCCATCTGTAAATTGAATGTTTTTATATACCATCCACATTTATTACCAAATATCATCTTCAACAAGTCGGAGCATTAGTTCCAGATATGATAAAAAACAAAGAATTTTTATTCGAATAGAATAAAAATGCAGGTTGTGTTTGAGATCTAGACTTTCGTTATTATTGAAAATGGTTTCTACTTTTTAATCTGTCAGAAACTTTATATTGAATCTCCCTCCTCGTTACAAACTGCTGATATTCTGTGCGAATAAATAGCATCCACATACTACAATGATAGTTGGGTATTTGAAACTCTTAACGATTTTATGGTTTTTACCTTTTAATCTGTTAGAAACTTTATATTGAATCTCCCTCCTCATTACAAACTGCTGATATTCTGTGCGAATAAATAGCATCCACATACTACGATGGTAGTTGGGTATCTGAAACTCTTAACGATTTTATTCGTGGGTCATTTCTTGTTCTTGGAGTTTATTTTTATAAAGCATATGGCCTATATATCGCCTTTTTTATGTGAAAATTGCAATTTTCTCAGATCGGCATGCGGTTATACTGTACAAAACAACGTTTGACACTGTTTATAGATTGTTTAATGTTTGGAGTTCACGGTGCTGTTATCCTTCCATTTCCTCAACTGAATAAAATAATTATTTTGTAGACAATTTTTTAAGTACAAAGAAGAAAGCGAGCGAAAGTTGTGTTTTTCATTGTATGTAAGACATAGTGAGCTTTGTAAATTGATACTAGGATATCGTCTAGTTCATATTTTGTCATAACGTTGCCGAGGTAATGAAAGTTGTAAATACTTTTTTATTATATGAGTTTATTGAATTTCGGGGTTACAACACTTACAAGATAAAAATTTCATTTTTGTGTAACAAAACAGTAACGAGTTTTATGAGAGATCAAACCGTTTTTAATACATCTTGAGATGATTAATCTGACTTAGTAGTCGTATTAGCTAATGAGACATGCTTTGCTCCAGACATATGTCTAGCCACTTATCTTCTTTCCAAGTATTCAAAAATAATACAAATTTATATTAGGTACATCAATTGCATCAAGCAACAAATGGCCTAAACCAGCTGACGCATATAAACTCAAAAATTCAACTATTTCTAATATACATTAAAAATAAATATATAAAGAACATTTGGACAAAAAATTATGATTTTATTTATCATCTATTTAGTTTATTTTTTACTTCTCATCACCGTTTCCAACCTCTATTTTTGATTTATAACTCAAACGTCCATTTGGTCCGTGTAAACTAAATTGTGAAAATTTCTTCAACTATTTGTGTTATATTTGCAAAGCAAAGCTATATGATCATATCTGTCTCAAATTAATATGCTGAATGTACTAAAATCTGTTTGTCATATATTTTGTGATACCGTCCATAACATATGGGTTACAATATCAATCAATCAATCTTGGCTGGTTCGTAAATCAACGTAAATGTATTCTAAAACAATGCAAGCTACATTTCGGCCAAAATATAGGATTTCGTTTCATATCAAATGTATAAGCCTTAGTCTCTTTTGTCCAAATTGTATGCGGTTACTTTTATATAAATCATATCTTAATATAAACCAAAATGCTTAATTCTGTAGTATCAATAATTCAAAATATATTTTTTTTATTTTAAATGTTTAAACCCGAAACCAAGAAAGAAAAAAATTACATTCATGAAAACGAAAGTAAATTCTATAATAAAAAAATTAACTGCATAATTTCTATAAAAGTGAATTCGTTAAATTAAGTAACACTTTTGGAATAAAAATATAATAAACGAAAATATTTCAAAAAGTTTAAGGAAAAAAAGTAATTATTATGTACTAATTAAGTTAGAAGGAAAACTGCAGTTGTCAAGATTATGAATCCTACTTTTTATGAGGTATGGGCGGCGTACCATAAAATTTTCGCTTTTTAAGTGTGCTTTTGAAAGGTGTTGCTGAAAGTATTAATTAAATAAATAAGTATATAATCCAGATATTAATAAAAAAATTAATTACCATATTGTACATATAAAGATTCCTTATTATTCTTAGGTGTCATGCAACCGAAGTCTATGTTTTCTTGGTTTTCCTTATCTTTATCTAAGCTAACATACTGATGCCAATAATCAGTTTCTAATTTAAGTAAATTAAGCATAACACTGTACTGTGTATAGACTTCAGTTAAAATAGCCTGTTGATCTGGGTCCGGTGATGAATATCCTACAATGGTTGGTCCAAAAACTCGAGCAATATTATCAATTGGCATAAGCACCTCGCGACACAATGCAACACGTTGAAAATGTAGTATTAGAAAAGCTAAAGTATCACGATTAGCTTGTGGCAAGCAACTTATAGCATTTCGTAATTCTTTTTTAATATCATCCTCAGATACATTTTGAACAGCATTACAAAAATGCTTCCATAAGCATGTAGGTATAAGTGGTTCGCGTAAAGAACGAAGAAAATCTTTGATACACCCGCATAATACGTGTATATCGAAATCACTTAAATGAGGCATACTTTTTCCACGTAAGAAGCGTTCTTTTAATGCTTTAACCTCACGTTCAGAGCCAGATACACGATATATGCCAACTTCATTTAAACCACGAGATTCAATTTCATTTACGCAATGAATAATCAAAGCTGGTATCATAGGTGCAATTGCTGGTGCATATTCAGCAATGAATCCCATTCCCTTGAGTGTTGGAGTATTAGTTTGAGGCACACAACTAATGTTTAATAAGTTACGACAGTCGACATGACAACGTATTGGACAGTCACGACAACGTAAACCGACAGCGCCAAAACGTATTCTGTAGAATTTAAATATATAAGTTAAAATAAATTAAAATCAATCTGTACAATTCGCACTTACTTTTTCTTGCACTGTGCACATGTGTCGGCGCGAATAAATGTTTTTGATGTGAAATTGTGATTTCTTAAAGGCGTTGGACGGATATCTTTTGATGGAGTTTGCATGCAACCAGGAGTGCCCAGTTTATTACCCGGTGTCATGGGAGGAGCGGATGGCGCAAAAAATCCTGTTTTTTTAGGTGTTGAGGGATCGTTTACAATAAAAATTTCGTTAACATTTTCCCTTAATGGTTCAGATTCAATTATTGATTCAGTGCGTATAATACCATTTCCAGCTTGTGGTATAGTAACTTTGGTCGTAGCACAAATACGTTCTGTACCAGGTGCAATATTTAATGTGTGTTTTTGTACTCCAACGCCACTACGGCGAGTGGTAGAACGACGTGTTGTGATTGGTGGAGTTGACTGCACACCGCTATCCATACCAGCACCACTTAATCGAGACCGTTTTGTACTAGTGCAGGGTATTGAGTTTTTTGGTATTGATGGTCGATGCTTTTGCCATGATTTTGAATGACGAACATCTAAGAAATCATCTTCTGATTGAGTTATAGACAAATCTGATAAAAACGATCCTGTTGAGTTAATATCATTGCCATATTTTTCTTCAATGTGCCGATTGAGTGATTTGCGCTTTCTGGGTATTGTGTTCAGAAAAGCTAGCTTATCTTTAGTTTCATCTTTAAGGTTACGTTCGTTTTGCAGCAAATCTGCAACAGCAACAATTTTTTTTTCCTAAACGCAAAAACTTTAATAATAAATTTAAAAATATTTATATATATGAACATTTACTAATTGTTCTCGATCATGTTCTGCGTCACGACGTGCCTTACTTTCCATTTCAAGCAAACGGCGTGCATGGAAAAGTTTGGTTTCTAAGTCCGCCATTGACTGCAAAGAAGCGTCGAGTTCTTTTTGTATTCTTTGTGTTTCTTGAGCATGAGTAAAACATTCCTGACGAAATTTTTCTTGTAAGCGTAGCAGACGTAAAAACTCTATATTTTAAATAAAAATTTTATTGAAATTTTTTATTATTTTCTGCTGATTTTACCTTCTTCAGCCGTGCCGTCTTTTAAAACCTGCATACAGCGTCGAATATCATCAAACGATGCTAGTGTTGAGAGCATTGGCGTATTCATTGTAAACTAAATGCACCGTACACTAATAATTTTTATTTAAATATATTTTGTATCAATATTTTTTGTAAAATCCAGTTTAAAACAAGCACTCACAAAACGACGCGCTAACCATATTTTTAAAGAAAAAATTTTGACAGCATCTACCGTTGAAATAATCTACGTGAATTATTGCACAGAGTTGTATTTTGAATATTTTTCGAAATCTTGATGGGTTCGAAAAATTGTTTTAAAGAAAATAATTACATCTAAAATAAAAATTAATTAATTATTGTTTTATATATAATAGACATTAAATTAGTGGTTATTGAAACGTAGTTGTTGCTCAACATTTTAAAGCCATTTTTTACACCGAAAAGTAATTTAGGTGCTTTCGGCAGCTCGCAAGTGTGGCAAAAAACAATGTTGATGACTTATAGAAATTTAAATTTAAAGCGTTTTTCAATAATATTTTTTTCATATACTCGTATAAATTTTTGCATATATTTATGCACATAAGAAAATATTTATTTTTCACAATTTTGCATATTTTTAAATATATCATTTCCAAAATTATCAAATTTGTGAAACTTTTCAATTTTGTTTGAATTTTTGTTTACAAACTTTTGACATATAATTGGAATATTCGTTGAAATTTCGCTTATTGCGTTGGCAACACTTTTTTTTATTGACCAAAGTGATTGGCCACTTCACTACTAGGTGCTTAGACAGAGAAAGTAAAGAAAGTTGTTGTTTTGCGTACATTTGAGCAACTGTAGGCCAGGAATTTGCTGTTTTTTACTACAATTGCGAGCCACCAAAATCACCTTATATTCAGGTATATAACATTTGACAGATTGCACCAGTGATGCCAATGTCTCGCTTAGCTTCTATAGGCCAGCAATGCTCTTTTTGCCACACTTGCGAGCTACCGAAAGCATATGCAAATTATTATATTTGCAGGGTTGCATAAAAATTTTATCGCTATTTGCATACCGACGTTTTGCGTTTTTATTTCAATAATTTTATTTCAAAACTTTAATTGATAATTAAAAATATATACGCCTCACAGCTTTATTTTATTTAAATCATCAATCAAAATGCTAATAAAACAAAATAGAATGAACATTTAGAAATCAAGATTTCTGAAGTTAATATTTTAAAGTTATTTGTGTAGACATTAAATGATACAAAGACCTCCGAAACTAAAAAAGTGGGTATATATGTATATAGTTAAGAATACATTTCTCATTAAAGCCAAAGATTTTTTTTTAAAGAAAAATAAGTATATTTATGTATGATTTAATTGGTTTAAGAATCATATGACTTATTCAATATATCGAATTTTCAACGAGAAAATCGTGTGGCCGAATCTCAAAACAAGCATCAAAATGTTTGCTGTTCTCCTATATAATTATTTTCATGATCAAAAACTTTACCAGTTTTTAGAAAATACATTGTTATCTATACGTGACACACTTTTAAACATTAAGACAAAAAAGAAATTTAATAATTGATAAAAATAAAAAATTTCAACAGTAATGGAAAATATAGAAAAATATTTCTTTATTAAAATAAAATATTTATTTACTTTATTATATCATTTAAGGGATAAAAATAAAAACTTTACAATAATTGGTAATATAAAAAGGTATTTCTTAATCAAACTAAAAACTATCTCGAATCTCTTAAAGTTTTATTATAAATTAATATACTCAGTATATTATTGCTTCTAATTTTATTTCAATATATTTATTATTATGTTTATTATATTATGTTATTATTTATCACCCACTTTATTTACAACACACCTTTGTGCATATCTCATTTTTCCAGCTGTTATGTTCTTTTAAGAGCGGTGGGCTATTATATTTTACATTACTCTTCATTATTCTTCTTTGACAGAATTTATCATTTTATATTGAAAGGGGACTTTACCCTCGTTCCAGTAATAATCTCTTAATTTGTCTCGTAATTCCTTGGACTCTACCATAGAATCAATTTTAGTTTTTTCAAATGCAAGTAATTCTTTATTTTTTCTCCAAGCACCAGGAACAACAATACCTCGTTCTAAATCTTCCACGTCAACATCTTCGGCTGTCATATAATCAACAGAATGTGCTTTTAGGAAGTTATGCAGCGTGCAGGTACCCAATATAATAGGATCTAAATGTTCCAATTTAACTCGGAGAGGTTTTTGGAAAACTTTGAATTTTGATATTAAATGCCCAAACGTGTCTTCCACGACTTGTCGTGCACGATTTAAACGATAATTGAACACTTCCTCCTTTAGTGAAGATTTTTCTATTGGGTAGGGAGTCCACAGATTTTCAGATAGAGCGAACGTTTCATCGCCAACAAATCCATATGGACAAACAAAGTTACTTTTTTGTAGCCGATTTGCATCTGGTATATTGAGATCATCATCTAACCACTTGTCGAAAAATTCTGTACCTCTTAAGTAGACTTCGCCATCGACAACTGAACCATTTACACCTTCGTGGATATAAATAAAATCATAATTTGAGTTAACAATACCACATAATATAATGCTGCATGTTCCTTCATGATTTGTGAATTGTCCTAAGCTTTGTGGAGGTCTTTGTATTGGTACATGTTTGCATGCAATTGCACCAATGCAGTTCTCAAACTGACAACTGTTGTGGAAGCCTTCGGCAATTTCTCTCCACTCTTTTTCGTTTTGCGGAAACTAAATGAAAAATGTTAATAAATATATTTGCAGCAAAACAATTTCAATAAATTTACTTACACGTAAATATTCATTTTTTAAAGTTTTGAATATAGCTAAGCAGGTCTCTGGTACAATTCTTGCAATTGCTTGTGCGGAAATTTTGTAAATGAGTTTAAGTTTGCTGTAGTCCATCCCAGAGTATAGGAAACGTAAGGTTACAGCCAATCGTTCTTCGGCGGTAATTGCATTTCGCATTATAGTATCTTTCTTTGATATATGTGGCTTGATGAGGTCCAATAGATAATTAAATACTTCTTCTGGCATATTTAGGTTTTCCTCCAACTCCTTTAACTCTGTTTTCTTTAATTTTGTTATGATGTCTTCATTGCTGAGCATCGAACGTTCTAGCAAAAAGTCATTTGACCACATCCTCTGCTTTTTCTTCGGTTTGCCAACTTTAGACATTTTGTTCACACGTTTTTTGTTAGTAATTAATTAAAATCTTATCACTATTTGTATTTATACAATAATTTGTAAACAAATGTGAAATCTTACTTTTTGTTTTGGAATAATTAAGCGTTGCCACACAGTTTCAGTTTGTTTATGTCAAAGTTTTTTTTTGACATTAACTTTTTAGTCGCACATTACAATTAGCGTACCGTATTTATGATTGGACGAATTTATAATTGGACGAATTTGTATTGCATTTTAAATTGTGACGATTACCAATATGTCTTACAATAATTTACACTGTTCCAATTATTGTGATTTCAAAATAACTTTTATAAATGTGGAGCAATAATAAAGTTTTTTATTTACAACTGTCACGTTTTTCGGATTGCCAATTTTTGATATTAATAGCCGTAATTTTTTCTTTCAAAATAGCAAAAAAACTCGCAACTTATGATAGAAAATAACTTAAGCAACAACAATGCTTTTTTTGCTTCGTAAGTTTTAGTGCAGCGAAATTCAAAAAACAGTCTATTGTGAATGTTCACTGGCAATATGTGTTAAGTTCCAGTCTTCCGTTAAAATCATATGAACAGAAATAATAACAAATTGCAATATTTAATAACACAAAAAAAACTATTACTATTGCTCTTCTATTATACATTTTGTTTTCTTTTATTTAAATTAATTAATTTTTAGTGTTTACAATATTTATATATCATATTGTACATCACACAACAAAAAAACATATGTCAAAAAAGTATTTGACATTTCGAAAGTGTTGCCAATTTCTTTTAATCGGACTTAATGTTCTTTTCTACAACTCTTTTAAAATCTAAAAATTTGCGAGAATCTTTTTGCTACTCTGAAATAAATAATTACCGTTAATATTAAATTTAAACAATGAAAATAATAACGAAAATATTTTGCTATTAGTTTGCACGTATGTTGCATATACGTGTTTTGTTCTAATTGTGCCATTCAATTCAAAATCTTTAAATTTTGTAGAAATTTTTTTTTATATAAATGATAATACGAACCTTTAGATAAAATCAGTATATCATAAAAATTTCAAAAATTACTACCTTACAATAAAAGGAAAATATTTTTATATGTAAGAAAATTTTTTTTTAATTATTGTTCAAATTAGAAACACGGTTTTTAGTATCTGGAATATATCGTGTTATGTTGGTGTGAACATAACTTAAAATTTCAAAACACCGACCATTTACGATACGTGATTACGTGATTCTGAGGCCGGTGTAACGTCAAAAAGCAGCTGACAACTTATATTTATAAAAGATTTTGAAGAACAGACGGGGGAATTTTGTTTATTAATTTTAAAAATTCGCCCAAATATGCATTTAAAAAGTTTGTTGTCAAGCAATATTTTGCAAAACCAATTCATTATTAATCGTGGAATGAAAGTTTTAGCAAAATCATTGCAGTTCTCTGGATATGGGGAAGCAGCAGATGTTTTAAAAATTGTTGATGATAAAATTGATTGTCCTAAGGATAAACAGGTTTTGGTTAAGATATTAGCAGCACCTATAAACCCAGCCGACATAAATACTATACAAGGTAATATCTCAATAATAATAATAAATTATCATAATTTATCATTGCTGTTATTTTAAGGAAAATATCCGGTGAAACCTAAATTCCCAGCAGTCGGCGGTAACGAATTTGTTGCGGAAGTAGTTGAAGTCGGTGCAGATGTAAGTAAGTTTAAGTTAGGTCAACGAGTTGTACCCTCTATTAGCGGCTTAGGCACTTGGCGCACATATGGTGTCTTTAGCGAGGATCAACTATTACCGATATCAGATAAAATTGGTTTAGCTGAGGCGGCAACGTTGACAGTAAATCCTGGTACAGCCTATCGTATGCTAAAGGATTTTGCTAAGCTGTCGTCAGGTGATTGTGTAATACAAAATGGAGCCAACAGCGCCGTTGGTCAAGCAGTGCATCAATTGTGTAAGGCTTGGAATTTAACATCGGTGGGCATAGTACGTGATCGTGCAGATATCGGTGAACTTAAAGATCATTTAGTTAAACTTGGCGCTAGTCAAGTGCTAACCGAAGAAGAATTACGTACCACTAAAATATTTAAAGACGGAGTTCTTCCAAAGCCGCGTCTAGCACTTAATTGCGTTGGTGGCAAAAGTGCTACAGAAGTTTCACGGCAACTAGCAGATAAGGGCACAATGGTTACATATGGTGGTATGTCACGTGAACCAGTAATTGCTGCAACTGCAGCACTTATTTTCAAAGATATTTCCTTTCGTGGCTTCTGGATGACACGCTGGACTAAAGAAAATCTAGATGCACCAGAACGTTTTGAAATGTTTGATGATTTGTGCAAACTAATCGAAGAGGGTAAATTTGTTGGACCACTACACGAGCTGGTGCCGCTGCACGCATACAAGGATGCTGTAACGGCTTCTTTAAATTTTAAAGGTTTTGCGGGCAAAAAATACATATTCGATATGCAGTGCGAATAAGATGTGCAGTGTAAATAATATCTCGAACCAAAAAATAAAGTCTGTGATTTAAAAAAATAAAATTTATGTAATGCAGAACAAAAGCGCAATTTAAAATTGCAACAAATAAATTAATTATGGACGAAAATTAAAAATGCTTCATATTTTTATGTAATTTGAAAAAAAGAATAAAATAAAAGAAAATTCAAGTTAAAATTTTAGCATTTCTGATTGTTTAATAATATATGTATCAACAAAATATTTCCGATCTGAGAAGACTTTTTAAGGTGATCAAAAAATACATAAAAAATAGAGTCCTGAAACTACCATATTTACGAAAATTGACAGGCTTACCAACACCGCGTTATCGAATCTCAGAATGATTACAGGCTTCTCGGGGAGGTATGCAGATCTGAGGTCAGTTATTGGTTAATCTGATGTAGTGATAAATAATAATCCAGTCAAGGCGTAAAGAGGGGTTATGAAGAAACCTCGCAGTTAGTAAAGAGTAAAAGTGCTCAAGTGCATTGACTCAACTAGGCTCAACATAATAATATATTTATATTAATGACTTTATTTATTTAAACTTTATTCATACAATAATAATATATTATAATTATAACATAATATTATATTATTACATCTTTAATATTTTAGGAATATTGCAATAATTTGTTTTATATATATTTTTGCTATTTTTTTCTTAATAATAATATTGACATGTTTTATTTTTGAATATATAACATATAAGTGATTAAAAAATACTTTACTCACAATGGCGTGTTTTGGGGCAGGTGGTCGATTAGGGAACAGATGGATATATATCTTAAAGATAATGAAAATCATACAATTCTGATATATTATCGTTTTTATTTTTTAGTACTAATATAAATTAAATATTTCGATAAATAAAACTGTAGAAATACTGAAGAAACTTATCAACTATGAAAAAAAAGAAAAATAAAGAAGAGTTGGTTAGTTGCAGTGGTAGGTTATTATAGATAACTTCCATGTACCTCAATTAGCGATTTTTCGCCGTTTTGCTACCATATTCCTCGCAAGAACCCTAGTATAGAAGAGTAGAGACTAAATCCAACCCGCCGAATTTAGATAATTTGATAGGTCTTTCGTCTTTACCGATGAATAGTCTGATAAACTATCAAAGAAGTATCTTTCTAAGCACCTATATCTTCTGGACGCCAAAGCCGGGTATTCACAGAGAAAATGTATTATGATTTCTTTTTCCTGCGGGTTGCCACAATTTCTGCAGTAAGGATTATGGGGAATGCGCAGTTTCTCTGCGTGAAAGAAGAGTTAGTTCTAGTGTATACATATAATATAATAACTTATATATCTTGAAAATAATACCAAAAAAAAACAATCTTTTATTAATTTAGTAAACTGTAAAAAATTTCAACAAAAAAATATATTCCTGATATTCCTTCTTTTGGTACAAACCTGGCTACTTCCCTGCCTATCTATATACATAGAAACTTCACAGGATACGATTTCCAGTAATATGCTGAAATTAAATCTTATTTGGCAATTTTTTTATTAATACAGATTAGTCAGTTTATCTTAAACGTTGAGGATTCTACTACAAATCTATATATATTTTACATGTCAAGTAGATTTTAAAGTCATATTTCGCTTTTAAAATCTCTTTAAATAGTTTTGAATGGTATTATACGTTATATTATATTTGTCAATATGTAGAAAATTTTATAGATTACTTAAGAACATTAGTTTCTAAACACTATGCATAGTCACGATCTTAACACTCGAATAAGTCATGGAACAGTTTCTCGGTGTATTATTATAGTATATATATTTATGGCAATGTATTAAATGTATATAATAATATTATTATTATGTATATTATTAAATATTATAATCTTTGTTTTTGTATGCTTAACATTAAGAAGTTTTCCAAAGATATGGACTTTTTCGAACAGAAGTCTTTGGAATGAGCTAAAATGTCAGCTGTTGAAAACATCCTAACATCAAATGGTGATAGCAATTCTAGGTCCAGTAATCTCCTATTGGCCTATGTAAGAGCCGGACACTGAGAATGTGACTGGTAATCTTGTTCGCTTCTAGTCGACTTACTGTTTCCTTAGACAGATTAATTTTATTAGCAAATAACGTACACCATGTTGATCCATCAGAGAACTTCTCGACAAGCTTAGCTCTTTTGTATTGCAGTGGGTCACCTCATCGAAATTGAATGGAGACAGATAATAACCTACAAAGGATGTTCTGATAATAATAAAGTAGATAGATGCCTCCAGTTTAGATATCTAGCCTAGACTATTGGTTAAAATAATGTAGAAAACCATTTTGAAACTAATCGTGTAATCGATGGATTCCAAACTTTATGTTTGATAAGCATTTTTATATAATCTTAATAAATATATTCAAAGTGTTCACTAGCTGTTAGTTGGTTTTAGTGACGGCATAACTTCTTCTTCAGTCCAAGTAGCGTTTAAACAGCATTTTGTTACAACAGACCCGGTTATGAAAATTTTAATTTTAAAACCAACCGAATCGGTTGCTAATGAAAAATAGCTTTTAATTATTCAGGCAACAGTATATTTTATTTAGGAATATAGAATATTTAGGAATAGAATATAGAATGGTTGTCTGTGAATTGTGGAATAATTTGTAAGGGCAGTGATAGTTTTGAAGTAGGAAAAATTAAACTAAAGACCTTCAATTTTTTGTTTCTTGTCAGGAAAAGGTTTAGGAAATATGTGGTAAATATATTTCATTCTATCACTTTTCGATAACCATCGAATTTAGCAATATTTTTGGCGTTGTAGTAATACCGGAAATTTGTTAAATTGAACTACTTCAACGCAGTCAGTGCAATCAATCTTCAATTTTCTTTTACAAATTCTTGTAAGTGCTTAATACTCCTATCGATGTATCTAAGGTCTTACCATAAAAATTGTTTTGGATTGCTTACCAAAGCACAGAGCATTCATTGCTTATAATATTAGCAATGAATCCTTCAAAGAGTTTGCTTCCAGTTTTATTAAGAAAATTTTGAATTTATTTTACTACCTCAGTGTTGCTACCTCACCCTACCACTTTTATGAAAAAATATTCAATATGTTAATTACTTAAATGAATATTTTGGCTTTACAACCTCCTTTAAACATTGGTTTTCCTTTCCTATATGCATAAGTAATTTCATCAGAACCACGTCAGTTCCGTTTCCGGTTGCTTAGGCGGTCGACGAAATTACCGAAGTGGGCAATTTTTGAAATTGCTGTGTGTGCTTCGTGTTCGCTGGGGTTCATGCGGTGTTGCAATTAGTGGGCGCTGTCAGGTACTTGGTTTATGTGCATAATCCCAGGTGACCGCATTGTGGAAACGCAACCACCGACTCACGAAATGTTTGTTATACGCGCAATAAGTGGTTAGCCTGTTTCCGTTGACATTTTCATATTTCTTTTATGTCGAGATTAAGGTTAACAGTTTTTACTTCATACATCCCTTTTGCGGGCAATGAAAGTCAAGAAAATACTCTCGATAGCGCCACTTCGGATTGACAGGCATGTAGTGGCGCTCGATGTGGAAAAAGCGATACAGTTTATTACTTATGAACTGAAGTGGGCAAAGGCTTACGACGCCAAAATACGGAATAAATGATTGCTGATTTACTTGTGACGTTCAGGGAAAATTTTGCACATTTGCATAAAAATTTCATTATTGCATGAACCATAAATTTTTAATTTCACACAATGCACGGGTTTCGAAAACTTATTTCTTGACTTGACCGTAAATTTATTCCATAATTGTTGTGTCACTTATAAAATTAATATTTATATTGTTAACCATTTAAGTTAGTTAGAGTTATAGATTACATTTCATTATATTTTCCATTTGAAAAAAGAACACATACTTGGAGAGCTGTAAGAAGTTGCTCTCCATTCCTTGATTTACACTCCATTTACTCCATAAGGTCTTGTGTCATCGCTTCCATGCACCAATTAAGCTTAGTAAGTCAACACATAAATGAGTATTTATAATATTATATGTTTGTATAGGTATTCATACACATACTTTACTTTAGTTCCTTACCATAGGTGCTTTATGGCATGGAAGTGGTTAAGGGTTTTTCGGTTGGACTTACTGTTGCATAGCAATTTATTCCAACTTCGTAAACAAACCAAACTGTTTATACAGCCCACTGCCTTATATTGATAAAATTGATAAAACAAATGTAAACATTCCGTGGGTTTTTATAAGGAATGTGATTTGTTATTATTCGTCGTTTCCCTTTGGTTTTGAGCAACAAATGAAAATTATTAAATCAAAAAAGACAATATTCGTCTTGGATGAGATAGTGTGACCGTTTTGTTTTTTTTTTAAAGGAAAGCGACGATATTGATTTGATTTGATTTCTTATAGCGCAGATAATTTATTGAATTCCTTTTTAAGTAATTGAGTCTTAAAGTTGATTGATTGTAGTGTTAAGTAGACCTAAGTTATCTGCTAAGTAATCCGAACAACACCATTAATCTTAACATGTCTAAATCGATTTTACTTTAAAAACGTCTAAAATTTTTTTATTTTTAATATGTGACCTGTTCTAGCAGTGGGACTATAGAGAGCTGTGTGTGTGTGTGTGAACTCTATATTTAACTATATTATTAAACTATTTATATATTATATTTGATTTTGTTTAAGTAATAAATCAATTTTATATAAAATTGATTCAAATTTAGTTTTTTATATGTAATTGATTAATTATTTTAACAATATCAAATACACGGAGGTATCAAAATTAACCTCTCTAATAATTTCGATTAAATAAAAATGACCTAAATTTAGTCACTCGATAAATTTTAAAGTCTTGACTGACGTGAAAATCAAATTTAATATCAAATATATAAAAAATTTATTAATATTACTTGATATGGACGTTGGCTCTCATTAGTCTCTCTAAAAACTCTTTAATATTTCAAATCCAAGGAAATAATTTAAAGGGATCCACTTTAAATTATTATATATAATTTAACATAATCGATAACTTGAATATTTATATTCAAAGCTTTAAAAGCCTAAGAATTCACGACCATAGTATGATCCATTGTGTGGTGAATAGTACAAGTGGTGTGTAATTGCAT